TATATTAATGCTAAGCAATATATATATGTATACTTGCATTTAAAAATCTTTTTTTAAAAAAGGTATTTGGCTAACAGGAAGCATCTAATTACTGTACAGAGACTAACATGCTGCACTCAGATGGCTCAGATCCCCCTTGGTCACATGCTGATGGGAGACTGGACATAGCTAAGAGACACCATTTTTACAGCATAGGAATTTGGAGGATATAAGGATTCAATTATTTTTGAGACTTGGGAAATTTTGAAATAGTTGCTTCAATGAACAGACACACTTGCATTAGAAAACTGGATTCTATATACTCCTATTCTGTGTGGGTTCCTATCACCATGGTCACATGTGGATGAAATGAAAATAGTTCCATTAAGAGCAAAGGAAGCTCTGGTGACCTAGCAGGTAGGGAGTGTGCTGTTCAGTCTGATTACCCACCAAAGACTCCATGGGAGAAGGATGGGCAATCTCCTCCCTTGTGTCTTTTTGTCCCTGAAAACCCACTGAAACTGTGAGTCCATTCTAACTGGACAGCTATGAGGGGTGTTTTTGAAATTAAGAACAAGTCAAAACTACCCAATATCATCCCTAAGATTTATATATACATATGACTCTAGCTAACCTAGTGTGTGTTGAACAAGGAATATTGAAAATACGAAATGAAAACAGCAAATCTATAAAATAAAGCATACATTTTGAAAACGTCCATCTGCCTTGACATTGGGACTCAAGAACATGTACATCTGGGGCTGCCCCTCCTTGTGCCCTAAGTCAAGTTCAAGTGCATACCTTGATGCAGCTTCCTCTGGGTTATCCTGGCTTCTGCTAACAACTTAGCACTGTCAGAACTCAGGGTTTTGGCTTTTCCTGGAAGATCTTCCTTTATCACTGTCTGAAAGCAAAACATCCATCAAGTCTGAAATATATAGAATACCTTTGGGAAACAGAAGTAAGATTTCTTTTCATCCTATCCTAAAGCATAGAAGAAGACTATTCTCTAAGATATACAGCATTAGGCCAATGATTTGGTTTGGAATGAAGATCTCATTGCCAGTGATTCAACGCCAATTCATTGCTATTGAGTTAGAACGAACTCGTGCCGGACCCTCCAGCGGGTTTTCAGAGGTGGTCACTCACATGGGAGAAGGCTGCCCATCTTTCTTCTGAGAAGCTGCTGCTGGATCAAGCCTGTTGCCTTGAGGCTGTCAGCACAACCTTTATCCACAGTGACGACTACTACTGACAAATTTTAAAATATCTTCTCGATGCGTTTTCACCTTTCCATATTTACTTCCTTACTGTCTCTGATTTCTAGTCACTTGCCAGGATCATGTTCTGAGTAGAAAAGCAGACATGAACCCATCCTCCTTCTGGACATTCAGGAAAGAAAAGGGCCATGTACATCTTGGTCATGATATTCTGACGTTTCATTAAATGGTGGGCTGCTCATTGCAAGTTTGTCAGTTCAAAGCTACCAGAGTCTCCTTAGCAGAAAGACAAACAGTCCACTTTTAAAAAAATTTTATTTATTTATTTTTTTATGTGTGTATTGTCAAATTGGATCTGACTGGTACAGGAGGCGACTGTTCCTCCTTCTTCAGCAGAGCATCTGGTGGATTTGAACCGCACACCTCTGGGATTGCAGTGCAGTTTCCTGCCATTAGGCCACCAGAGCTCGCCAAACAGCCCACTTTTATGTAGATTTACAGGCTCAGAAACCTGATGGAAGGTCACCATGACTTGGAATCAGCTTAATGGCAGAGGCTCTGGCTTGAGTTTACTGTCTAATTTATGCTCTACCAATATGTCTGGAATCTGTTTCCTCTGAATCTGCCTCAGTTGTTCTTTCTGACTTCCTTACCATAGTGGAGAACTCAGTTGCTTTCAAACTTAAGATTTAGGAGATAAAAGTTTCAATCTTCCAAGAAAGTGTGTCTTCTAACTTTTTGACAGTTACTGTTTTTGTTCTTCAAGGTCAGATACAGAAAGAGTATAAAGTTCCTAAAAGATCCCAAAGGGACATGACCAAGTACAAGATCAAATGAGAGAAAATCCTTAATCAAGTTTTTAACCAAAATTTCTCTTTTTGATAGATATTAATGTTTAGTCACAGTATAAAAACATACCTAATAGAAGTAGAATATAATTTTTACTTTGGTTTAATAATGATAATTGAGGTTATTTCTGTCTGGTTCCACAAAGTAGCATTTTAAACTGCTCATAAAGAAAAAGGAATCCCTGGGTGGTACAAAGAGTAGGTATTCAACTACTAAGCAAAATGTGGGTTGTGGGTGTTTTGCTTTTTATAAAAAAATTTTTGTTTTATATTGGTTTATTTACAAAGTTCATATACTTGTGTTTCACATTATTCTTCATTCACATTGTATTTTATACAATCGTTCCCATCCATTATGTTTTATAAAATTAATCACCATTGGACTATGCCCACCATTACCTTGTCTTTTCAGGTCCCTGCAGATCTTGCCCAGTTCCTTCACCCTCTCTCTTCACCCCCCAAGTTGTGCAACTCTGTGATTTCGCCCCTACTCATCCTCACCCCTCTTCTACTATCCTTTCTCCCCATTCTTTTTCTTATTGAGGCCCTGTGGGATTGTCTGAAATGGTATTGCCAAATGTTATTTCCCAGTCAATAGATTTTCATTTCTCTCTGTTCGGAAGAGTTTTTTTTTATGTGTACAGGGATTAAATCTTTAAAAGATGCAGTACATCAATTTTATCCTCTCCAGATTAAGCATTTCTGGCTGTATTTGGCAGTCTTTTTATACCATAGACTAGGCCATCTAAACTTGATTCCAGATTGTCTCTTATGAACTTAATGGTTTTAGGCTTTACACTCAAGTCTCTTATCCACCTTGAAATGATTTTTGTGTATGGTGTGAGATGTGGGTCCTGTTTCAGCTTTCTACATGTAACAGTACAGTTTTGCCAGCACCATTGGTTGAAGAGATTATCATTTCCCCATTTGGTAAGTTTTATCTCCTTGTCTAATACCAGTTTACCATAGATAGAGGGGTCCCTTTCTGGGTTCTCAATTCTGTTTCATTGGTCTAAGTGCCTGTCCATGGTGTTTTGGTTATTACTATTGTATAGTATGTTTTGAGGTCAGAGAATGCTATGCCTCCCACTTCATTTTTGTTTTTCAGAAGTGCTTTGCTTATTTGAGGTCTCTTTCCTCTCCAAATAAACTTGACAATTTCCCTGAAAAATGAATTTAGTTTCTCTATTGGGATTGAGATGAGCATATAGATTGCTTTTGGTAGGACTGTCATTTTGAGTCTTCCTAGAGCCATCCACTTCTAAACACCATGCCTCTGGAAACTCTATGAACTTTGATAAATGTTGATAGTTGTTGAGGGGCTTCGGGCCTTCTGTTCATAGGGTCACTATGTGTCATGCTCAACTTGAAGTCAATCAACAACAACAACATCCATGAACAGGAAACATTTTCCCATTTATTTAGGTTTTTCTTTTTTTTTCTTTTTTAATTATATTTTTTAATTAAATTTTATTAGTTTTAATGAACATTTACAGAGATTTTGGGTTTTCATTCGTTCATTGTTGCACTGTTTTCTCCACCCTCATCCCCAGTTCGTTCTTCTCCCCCACCCCGTGTCTGTTTTAATTGTCCAATTGCCACAGTGCTTGTCTTGTAGAAATGTTCTGTAGTTTTCTTTGTACTTGTCTTTTGTGTCGCTAGTTAGATTCACTCTCAAGTATCTCAGTTTGTGCTTGTCTACTGTACATGGTATTGCTTTCTTGGATTCCTTCTCTGAGTTCTATTTGTTACTGTAGAAGAATCTTACTGATTTTTGGATATTGAGCTTGTATCTTGCCACTTTATTAATTGCTCCACTAGCTCTGACAGCTTTTTGGTTGAGTCCTTGGGGTTTTCCGCGTACGCTATCATATCATCTGCATACAGTGACAGTTTAACCATCTCTTTGCCAATCTGGATACTTCTTATTTCCTTCTCTTATTGTATTGCCCTAGCAAGTACTTCCAATACAATATTGAACAGAAGTGACACTGAGGATCCTTGTCTGGTCCCCATTTGCAAGCAAAATGCTTCTAGTTTTCACTATGCTGAGGAAATTTCTCTCTATTCCTATTTTGCTGAGTGTCTTAACCAGGAAAGGGTGTTGGATTTTGTTAAATGCTTTTCCAGAATAAATTGCTAGGATTATATGAGCGTGTTATTTGCTTTGTTAATATGGTGAATTATGCTGATTGTTTTTCTTATATTGAACTGTCTTTCCATACTTGTTATAAATCTCATTTGGCCATAATGAATTTTTTTGTGTGCGTGCTGTTGGATTCTATTAACTAGGATTTTGTTGAGGATTTTGGCATCTTTATTCATGAGAGATACTGGTCTATAGTCTCATTTTTTGGTAATATCTCTGGCCAGTTTTGGTATTAGGGTTATGCTTGCTACATATAATGTTTCTGGGAGTATTCCTTCTTATTCCATTTTTTTAAAAAAATAACTTAAGCAGAATTGGTGATAAATCTCAGAATGTCTGATAGAATTCAGCCATGAAACTACCCTGTCCAGGGCTTTTTTGGGGGGGCAGGGAGTGAAATCCTTTTAAGATTTAATCAATTTTTTGTTTTGTGATGGGTCTGTGTAAGTTGGTGTTGTATATCTGTCTATGTCAATCCGGGTAGGGCATGAGTTTAAAGAAATTTGTCCATTTCCTCTAGGTTTTCGAATTTATCAGAGGTTTTTCATAATATTCCAAAATTATAGATTTAATTTCCTCTGGTTCTGTTGTGCTGTCACATCTATCATTCCTTAGTTGAGTTATTTGTATCTTCTTTTTTAACTTTTATTAAGTTTGCCAGTGGTTTGTCAATTTTTATTGATCTTTTTGGAAAACCAGCTCTTGGTTTTGTTTCAGTTGTTTGAAACGATGCAGGAATACCATGAAAAACAGGTCTATCCTCCTCATTCCCAAAGGTCACACAGCCTTGAAACTTTTACGGAGATTTTCTTGCTCAAACACACATGTGGTCACTACGAACTGATTGTCTCAACAGTAACAACTATGATTAGCTTGTATCACTCAGGTCAATATAGAAATACCTGTATCCACAGCAAGTTCAATTCTATTCTGGATAACACATTCTGATTTAAAAAGGATGCATTTTTATCCTCTTCAATGTACTGAAAGAACATAAGAAAGTGTGCCATTCCCCACAGATGCAAGTGCCTACCTGGAGAGCAGACTCAGACGCACTCATGGCCTTGTTGGCTGCATCCTCAGCCGCTTTGATGGCGTTGATGATGTTCTCATAGGCAGTAGCAGCATCCACTGCACGGCGGACAAGATCATCTCCACTGGTATTTCTCTTGATCCTGGAAGATGGTCTGGGTTACGCCCTTAAGCAGTGTCCCTCTGCCTGCCACCTAGGCTTCCCTGTGCCTTTGGTCAATCAAGATCTGGGGTCTCAGAGTTAGCGGCTCTGCCTGCCATAATGGACTCAACTAGAATTGAGTGCTCTTTCTGCTGGTTTGATTCTCACCTGTGTCTGGTTTTCATGGCTGAGGTCAACCTTGTTCCCTATCTCTCCACCCTGATCTGGAGAACCCATTAGCAAAGGGGAGGGACTTCACACATGGCTCAGGGCAATGTCTAACACAGCAGCACATCATCACCACCATCTACTCACTCTTCCAGTTGCTTTGCCAGCTCCTGTAAGGCCTGAGCATGCTTTTCCGCCTCCACCACCAGAGCTTCTTTGCTGGCAGATTGGGAAAGTTCTGTCACCTTGACACTTAGTTCTTGTTTTGCTCCATTTAAGGTGGCAGCTAACTTTTCATAGTCCTGTTTTTTTCCAAGTAAACCAAGACAGTATGAATTTAAGCAAAGATAACATATACTATCTTCTTTTATTTTGTCAAAAATGATATATCTCCAGGGGACCAAAAAAAGGCAAATGATATTTTCTAAGCTCATTTATCAAATCAATTAATCCTTGAACGCTTTTGATAATGACAATGGAAATTTTCCTCAAAAATTAGAAGGTTTCTGAACATTTTCTGGATTATAAGAATCTCTTGTAATAAATTTTATAGAATACATTATTAACATTAAGTAAAGTTGCACTAACCCTAAAATTTAGTCTTTCAGATTTGGAAATATCTATTATAAATGATGGTTTTTAAAATGTCCATTGAGCTAAGAAATTTTATAAGTTTTTTACCAGTCCTGATTACTTCTATCAATAAAGATATTCCTGATATTTTAAAAATAATGTAACAATTTTTTTTGTTATCAGGAAAGTAAAATTTGCCTGCTGCAACCAGTTTAGAGAAGACAGCTAGACATGGCTCATTCACATGCTCCCTTAAGCAAGACTACTCTCCTTCCACTTAAAATACATATAACTGGGTGGGGGGAGAGGTCAGATCATTAATCTCATTGCAACATCTTTTTAGAATTTCTAGAGAACAAGTGTCTTGTCTACCTCCTGGCTTTTCTTCATCAGCTGCAGCATGTTGTTGGCTTGCAGTAAGGAGGCGTCGGCAGTGGTAAGGTACTTGGTGAAATCACTTTGTAGGGAAGTGATTTCTTTAACTTGTCTCTGTAAAGAATTCAAAGAATATATACTTGAGCTCTGCATGGCATATTGGTAGTGGAGACGCAGATACATTTATTGAATAATGATACACAAATGATTTCAAAGCCAGAATTGTCTTGAGTAAAGGCCCATTGTTGTTGTTGTTCTGTGCTGTTGAGTTGCAACTGACCTATGGTTGACCCTCCAGTGGGTTTACAGAGGCAGTAAATCCCATGGAAGGAGATTGCCCATCCTTCCACAGAACAACTGGTGGATTCGAATGCATGCCCTTGGGATTGCAGCACTGCTTCTGACCAATAGGCCACCAGAGCTTCCTACAGAAAACCACCAAGTGGAGGGATATCTGTTGTCTTTCTAGTTTAAATGTGTTACCACAGTTATCTTAAACCACTTGTCAAGACAATAATCACTACTGTCATTGCAGGAGATTTCTACACGAGGGCTCAGTTCAGTCAAAAAGGTAAATACATTTCCAAGCCCAAGTCTGTGGAATAAGAAACCCTGCTGGCATAGTGGGTAGCATGCTACACTACTAATGGGAAAGTCGGGGGTTTGAACCCACCAGTTTCTCTTTTCACCAGTGGGAGAAAGACGTGCAGACTTTTCCCATTAAGATTTATAACCTTGAAGAAACGTTTACACACAAAAAGAATCATTCATGGATAGTGACAGGGATTGAAAGGGAGGAGGAGGGGAGTAAAAATTAGTATAGATAATGGATACTTATAAGTTGAATGACGGCAAAGGCAATATACAACTGGAGGGTCAGATATTGTGGGTGTTGCAATTATGTTATCAACAAAATGTACATGAACGATGGAATTAAAAGCAAACACGCTTTTGTTGTTATTGGAAAATGAATGCTTTTAAAAAGTGATATTTTAATCATTCATTTACATTGCATTTCACATGTATACATTGTATTTTATATAGTCTCTCATTTAGATTATATTTTGTTAATTTATATTATGGGTTTCCCCCCCTTTATAATCACCTTCCTAATTACTACTTCCATAAAAGCGTGTAAGCCAGCTACTTCATGTCTCATTCCCTAATATCACGGTTTTAGACAGGCAGTTTCTGATTTGCCCATCTATATACAACCAGTACTCTGAGGAAACAAGCTCGTCCCTTTCACTGATACTCCGTTCACTTTTTTAGCATCTGGATCCACAAGCAACGTCCAGTCCAGACCAGCTCTCGCTCACAGCATGGATCATCTTCTCTTCAGCTGGCTGGGTTCTGGTCAACTCATCCTCAGCAAAGAGGCTTTTTAAAATGTCATGCATATCACAATAAAAATGTAAAATCAACAATTTAAAAGAAGGATTGACAACCTTAGAAGCCTGATGGAGGATTACAATGAATCATCATTGACTTGACAGTAAAGGGTCTTTTTTCTAAATTTGTCAGACAGGATGAGGAAGTTTAACTAAACTAGCACCAGTCATCACATGTCCAAACTAACGAGTATCTGGTGGTTCTCTTCAACAAGAGAGAACACAAAATCTGAGTAAGAATGCATGGCTAAGAACTACCGAAGCTCAAAGACCCATAAAATCATGTCCTGCTTCCTGCCATTGGTATAACCAGTGACTTCGAGAGGACAAACAAAAAGTTTTAGGAACTAGGCACAAAGTCATCTATTAAGATTTTTGTTTTATTTAACTCAGTCACTGACATGGAGTTGGACCTTACTAATAACTGAACCTTCAGTGAGTTTCCAGAGGTTGTAAATCACACAGGAGGAGACTGGTCATTTCTCTACCTCAGAGCAGCTGATGGATTCAAAGCATCACAGAAGTTCTGCCTTTGGGTTAGCAACACAACTCCCTAAGGACTCACCAACAGAGCTTCCCCCTATTTTTAAATGTAGTCTGTGTTATTTTAATTTGATCTTATTACCATTTCCTGTTGTCAGGTGCTGCCACATTAATTGCAACTCATGGTGACCACTTGTGAAAGAGGAGAACTGCCCCAGAGATTTATAGCCTGTGATCATTAGAGGACATCAACAGGTCTGTCTCCCTTGGAGTCACTGGATGTGTTTGAACTGCCAGCTTTTTGGTTAACAGCCAAGTGCTTAATGTAAGTGCTACCAGGGCTTCTTTCATAATTTCTTAATACCTCATATTTTGTTATTCCTTAACACCTCATATTCTGTTGTGCCAACATATGATGCACACCAATAAATTACATGCCATAGGAACAGAAAGGGCAACCTAGGTAGAACTGTCAAGCATGGAAATACAAAGGAGGAGGAACAGTTGTAAGCAGACCCTAGTGATTGGTACATAGAATGTGAGAGCCATGAATGAAGGAAAATTAGAAATTGTTAACAAAGAAATGGAACGCATTAATATTGACATATTAGGCATTGGAGAGATGAGA